GTCGTAGGTATTATCTCCCGCTTTCCCTCTTCTTATGTTACATACATTTTGATTATTTCTTTATCTATTCTTAATTATTATTATTATTATTATTATTATTATTATTTTTAATTCTTGAAACCTATGCACCGAAGAACGTAAAGTCGAGGTTACAAGGCTTCATGCAAGCAGTAAACCTATGTACAATTTTTATTCTATTTAATTTGTTTGGATTAGACATTTAATTTAAATTAATCTTTTTTTTATTGTTGACTTTGTTTTGGTATGTATATATTCTCATGCTATTACTGATTTGATTTGATTCTTACAACATTGCATTATTGTGGGATAGAAAACTATAAGGATTTTTCATCTAAAGTGTTTTAGCTCTAAAACATTAATCTAAAATTTTAATTTTTAAAATTTTTAAATTTTAGTAAATACACATGGCATAGAAATATTAGTCCATCTAATGATATCTATAATTTTGAAAATTAAAAATCTTAAAATAAAATGTCAAAAATAAAATTTAGCCATCTAATTTGAAAGTTAAAAACTTTAAAGGAAATTCCAAATATAACTTTAGTCTTATATAATTTCAAAATTAAAAAATATTTACTTCAAAAAATAAAAAAAAAAATTGAAAGGCATAATTTTATGTTTTCCTATTCTATATTTGAGTGATTCTCTCTTTTTAAAACTCAAAAATTATGGGATAATTCTCATAATTTTGAATTTTAAAATTTATTTCTTGATAGGCTAACCAATTTTTTTTTCTTTTTCAATTTTTTAAATCAAAAAAATTAGAAAAATTAGCTTGAGAGATTAGAGCGCTCAAAAATTAGTTTAAAAAGATTTTATTTATCTATTTTTTAATTCAAAAATTATGTAAGACACATAAATAATAATTATTTTTTTAAATTGAAAATTTGATTTTAGGTAATGATCATTTTTTTTTTTACATTTTTTTTTAGATAAAGATGTTAAAAGAAATTTTATTTATTTATTTTTTTAGAATAATGCTATATGCACCAATTGGTATGCCAATTAATGTACTAATGGATGATGCGACATACTTTTAGATGTTTGAGTCTTTATAATTTGTATCATAGATTTAAAATGACAGTGACATAACTATGTTGACACACTACTAATTTTTTAATACGAAAAATAATATGAGTAGATTTGAATTGATCTTTCTTTGATTTATTTTAGGGAGTGAAGGATTTTAGAGGATGGACAAATAATTATTTAATTCATTTCTTTAAATTGGAAGGTCAACAAATTGTGTTTCTATATTTGATTTTACGAAATGACGAATTTTGGGCAATGATCTTAGAAGATGGGTTTGAAGAGATTTTATTTATTTGTTTGTTTAATTTTGTAAAATTTTATTTATTTATTTGGTTGATTTAAAAATTATATGAATAGATTTGAATTGACCTTTTTATTTATTAATTTTAGGGAAGGAAGGATTTTGGGTAAATATTTTAGAAGATGGACGAATAAATATTTAATTCATTTCTTTAAATTGGAAGGTCAACAAATTGTGTTTCTATATTTGATTTTACGAAATGACGAATTTTGGGCAATGATCTTAGAAGATGGGTTTGAAGAGATTTTATTTATTTGTTTGTTTAATTTTGTAAAATTTTATTTATTTATTTGGTTGATTTAAAAATTATATGAATAGATTTGAATTGACCTTTTTATTTATTAATTTTAGGGAAGGAAGGATTTTGGGTAAATATTTTAGAAGATGGACGAATAAATATTTAATTCATTTCTTTAAATTGGAAGGTCAACAAATTGTGTTTCTATATTTGATTTTACGAAATGACGAATTTTGGGCAATGATCTTAGAAGATGGGTTTGAAGAGATTTTATTTATTTGTTTGTTTAATTTTGTAAAATTTTATTTATTTATTTGGTTGATTTAAAAATTATATGAATAGATTTGAATTGACCTTTTTATTTATTAATTTTAGGGAAGGAAGGATTTTGGGTAAATATTTTAGAAGATGGACGAATAAATATTTAATTCATTTCTTTAAATTGGAAGGTCAACAAATTGTGTTTCTATATTTGATTTTACGAAATGACGAATTTTGGGCAATGATCTTAGAAGATGGGTTTGAAGAGATTTTATTTATTTGTTTGTTTAATTTTGTAAAATTTTATTTATTTATTTGGTTGATTTAAAAATTATATGAATAGATTTGAATTGACCTTTTTATTTATTAATTTTAGGGAAGGAAGGATTTTGGGTAAATATTTTAGAAGATGGACGAATAAATATTTAATTCATTTCTTTAAATTGGAAGGTCAAAAATAATTCCGTATTTGATATTAGGAAAAGACGAATTTTAGGCAATGATCTTAGGAGATGGGTTTGAAGAGATTTTTATTTATTTGTTTGTTTAATTCAGAAATTATGTGAGACACGTGAATATTTATTATTTTTTTAAATTGAAAAATTGATTTGAAGCAATGATCTTAGGAGATGGGTTTGAAGAGATTTAACTTAGAAATGATTAAAGTGTAATTCTCATGAATATTTATTTAATTACATATACCACTCCACAATTTTTGATACATACATAATATTTTTAGAATAAATTTGAAATGATATCCAAAAACACATCGGTGCCGATAGATAGCATAGGAATTTAAAAAATAATATTTTATCCAGTACAAAATTAACAACTTTGTGTGTAACAAGAGAAAAGTACGACTTTGGATGCAACAATGAGAAAAATTCATCTACCAGAGAATTCTGTAATATACACGTGACATATAATATGTACATTTAACTACGTCATTTTTAAAAAAAGTTTTGTTCAATTCTTTTTTTTTTTAAATTTATTTATTATAATTATAACACTATTTTCAGATATTTAATTATATGTTAGGTAATGTTTAATTATGATTTTTTTAATTATAACTTACAAAATATGAAATTATATAATTTTTTTTTTTTAAACTATGTATGACTATAAGTGCATACATCTTAGGTCAAGTTTAGAAACTTGTAAAAAAGTTAAAAAGTTAAAAAGTTATTCAAAAGGTTAAAAAGTTAAAGCTATTCATCAAAAGTCAATAATTACGGCTGCACAACTCTCAATTCGAATTTTTCCCTATAAATTAATTTTTACAATTTTTATTACACATTTTTTCATAAAAAGTTAAAAAATTAACCTAAACATCCATATTTTTAACCTTAATTTTTTAGTCTAAAAAAATAAAAAGTACACTTATTTAGGACACCCTAAATAACCCTAAGAAATTAGCGTAGTTTTGTGGCCTAAATAAATGGAATCACCGATAAATATAAATAATTATCGCATTATTATAATTTCTACGCAATAGCCTTCTTGTCTAACCTGTTCCGTTGCCATTCATCGCTGCCAGTGCTGTGCCAAGTTTAGTTTTTATCTGTTTTTTTGCTCTTAAATCTCTCTCTTGAACTCACTCTATTCGCATCAGATTTCATATTCAAAAATCTCAGCAGAGAAAATATAAATTTGATAGGGGTTTCCTCAATTCGAATTGTATTGTGAATGAATTTTGATTTTCTATCGTTTATTTCCCCATGATTGTTTGCCCTCTCACCCTATTCTGGGAATGTTTGGGATTTATTTTTATTTTTTTTTAGAGTAGTTATTACTATCGTTTATTTCCCCATGATTGTTTGCCCTCTCACCCTATTCTGGGTATGTTTGGGATTTATTTTTATTTTTTTTAGAGTAGTTTTTAAAAATTATTTTGGAGGAAGAGTTCAGAAATTTTTTTTTTAATTTGTTTGGTCGTTTATTTTGAAGGGCGGTGATTGAGGGCCCGAAATGGAGAGCCCCGAATGGCTCGAAATTCCATTTCGGGTAAAAAGAAAGAAAAAAAAAAAAGAAAAAAGAAAGAAAAAAAAAATAGTTTCTAAAATTAGAAATTAGGGGTATTAGGGGCAACTTTTTTAGGGCTCTCAATCATTTTCCTATTTTGAAACTAGTTTTTCAGAGTGTAATGATTTGATATTTTGTTAGCAGAGTAGTGCTAGAGAGCTCGAATTGAGCCCTCCCGATTCCCCCCTAATTACGAAACGACGTCGTTTCGTCGTTTGATTTTTTTTTTTTTTTTTTTTTTAGAAAATCAAGGCGAGCTGCTGCTGCTGCGACGAGCTGCTTCTGCTGCGAGGAGCTGCGGCTGGACTGCGAGGAGCTGCGGCCGGGCTGCGACTCCTCCTCTTCCCTTCTCTTCTCTCTCTCTCCCTCTCCCTCTCCCTCTTCCTCTTCCTCTGCGTTTCAGTTTCAGACTGAAAATGGAGGGAAAAAATGAAAAAAAAAAAAAAAAACCTAATGCCCAAAACGACGTCGTTTTGGGCATTAGGGGGGACTCGGGAGACCATGTTTCGAGCTCCCAAACATTATTGTTGTTACAATTGAAAGAGAAAAAGTGATTAAGCCTCCGTTTGGGAAGTGGGTTGACTTTTTGGCTTTTTGGCTTTTTTGGCTATTTTAGCCTGGGCTTAAAAGCTTGGTTTGGGAAGGGCTTTTTGACTTTTTGGCTTTTTTGAATTTTTTTGTGAGAGAAGAATGTAATGATTATGGGTTGGATGTGATGTTTTGTTTGTTATGGTTAAAATAGCCTATTTTGTCTTTTGTGGCTAAAATAGCTAAAAAAGCCCAAAAACCAATTTGCCAAACAGAGGCTAAGAAAGAGAGAGAAAAAGGGATTAAGAAAGAGAGAGGAATGAAAAAAGTGATTGATGGATAAGGAAGAGAGCGAAAGTGATTTTGAAAATTATTTTAAAAAATTTACAAGCCAAACAAATTTCTTAAAATTTTTTTCCCAAGAAATCCAAACCAAACATACCCTCTGTTTTTTCAATCTGCAATCCTAGGGTTCAATCAATGCCAGTTTTGTTTTTCATTTTGTTTGTTTGAATGTTTGTTTGGATCTTCAATCTTCTGTTTTGATTGTCAGAAAGTAAAAACAAGTACAGCAATTCACTAATTTTTGTTGTCTAGGGTTTTCGTCCTTGTTTCATTATCTATACGAGAGAATATGGCTTCCTGTACAAGCCTTGTTTGGGACAAGTCCAAATCTGAAAATGCATCTTCTTCACCGGCAAAGAAGCAAATCTGCGAGGATTTCCCACCACCACCACCATCTTTATCAGAAAAAACAGATCCAAGATCGATTATCAAAGTCTATAACTATGATTCAGATGATGAGATAAATTATGAAGATGTGGATGAGTTTGGAGTGCATGAGATGACTGACAAGGAATATAAGGAGTATTCTAGGCAGATAAAGGAAAGTAAGGTAGTACGTATGCTTCTTTTTAATTACTTTATTCATGATTCATTATCTTAATTTTCTTTGTAATCATATATCTACACATTTGTTTATATTATCCTAATTGTGAGCTTACACTTACAGGGCTTTGATGTCATGGACTTTCCAAAGTCCTTCGCATGTGGTAAAATTATGCCTATTATAAACCTCAATTATCATGCTAACCACCTCAAATCTCTTTCTGAATTAGCGCTCAAGGAATACAATGAGAAAGAGGTGTTTCCTTTTTAATTTAACTTTATTTAGTTTTTTTCTGGTTTCTTTAATCTCCTTTTTGAATTATAAATCACACACACACACACACACACACACACAATGTTCTTAATCAGCCTCTTTTGTTCATATTCTGTGTGTAGAAAACAAAGCTAGAGTTTGTGAAACTTGTAAAGGCAAACCTGGAACCATGTGAGGGCTTTCAATATTATATCACCTTTGATGTCAAGGATGCTGATGCTGTTGATGGTCCTATCCTAACATTTCAAGCTTTGGTGTGGGATGGGATCGACGAGATTGAAGTAGTGCTTTGTAGGCTGGAAATTAGTAATTAATCAAGGTAAATAAACTAGTTGGGTATGATAATTTTGAGAGATATTACTTTAAAATGATTTCATGTTCGTAGTTCTTTGTTTGCTGGCCGGAAAGCTTTTCTATGCTTTCTCAATTTACCTTTATTGTCTTAATGAAGTATTGTCCATATTGATATCCTCTTTTGTTTGCTTTAGTGGCATATTTTAACAATGCTTAATGATGCAGATTAAGCATTTATACCCAATAACAATTTTACCCCATTTGAGACGTGCAAGTGATGGATTTCTCCATCATTAAAACATTCTTATAAATATTCATATGTGATGAAATTAGAGCTCTCAAAGTCTTATCTTGTTCTTTTCATCACCAAAATTATTACTATATGTGTCGCTCTGGGATTTTTTTTCTTGAGAACTAGTGTATTTTCTTCTATTACTGTTGGATTTCCAAGCTTATTGAGTTCATCTTCAACTACTCTATATCCCAAGATTTAGAAGGGCCCTAGGAAGCACGAACGCTACTGTGGAGGCAGGGTCTTGTGTCCGACACTTGTGGCGGACTTGACACCCTTTGGACACTCCTAAAAGGGTGTCCGACATGTCTTCAACATGTTTTAATTAAAAAATCAATTGCATAATATTGTATGCTTTACCAACACATTGTGGACATATCTTGACCCTTCTGAACATGTCCTATATGGTGGATGTCTTCATTATAACAATGTCTTGTGTCTTTATAATACAACTTATGCATTCGAAATATGTTTTAAAACGCTTATTAGAAGAATACATCTTGTGTGAATTATGTTACATGGACTTGGTTATGAGTTCTAGGTGCTGGTGTGGGTGCCGGTGTATGCCCAGCATTAGATCTTCATAAATTTAAATTTTAGGATATCAAGATATGCACCCAAAATGTATGTGGGTTTGGGGACACACCTCAAACACACACATATATATTGCATATTGTTTACTATTCTTAGATAACATGTAGTAAATTATTTGGAAATTACATTAAATTGAATGGGATCTAAGGAACATAAGGACTACATAAATAATTTGATGTGTGAGAAACTAGAAATGTTTCTTTACTAGCTAATGTGAGTGTCTTTTCTTCGTATATTAGATAAACTTAGAGGATTTGAGTATCTAAATTGGATATGGGTGTTTGACACAAATCACACACCATATTTGGCGGACACGAGTATATTAAGGGAAGTAGAAGAGTCCATGTAACATAGTGTGTAATACAATGTTCGATAATTGTTCTGCATTCTTTTGAATGTAATTGGTATGTGAATGATATGTTGATGTTTAAGTTATGAAAAATCTTTTAATGTATAAAATGTGTTGTGTTACATATTTTTTATTATCTTTGAATAAATTATTTATATATACGATATATAACAAATTTGTAAAAACATAAAATTTTAGCGTGTCCCAAGCATGTTATGTCCTACTTTCTTTTATGAAAATCGACATGTCAGTGTGTCCATGATGTATATGTGCTACATAGGAATGGCCTTTAGGTTTCCAGACCTGGGAAGCATCTGTTGTACTTCAGCCTTTAAATTTGCCAAATTTCGATGGATTTTTATAGTTTTGTCTTGGATCTTCCTCCTTTTGAAATAGGTATGTCTTTATCTTTAATTTCTCTTTGCACTTGCTGAATTTCGCCATTCATCCTTGCATTCTGTCTCTCTGTAGCACTGTTGGTTATCTCCCTAGCTACCCGTTTGTGAATATTCTTTTCAACTTTTGCTCATTCCAGAATTTCAACAATATTCATTTGTTTCATCTAATTCTCCATTCTTGATGCAGTACTCTTAATATTCAGATCTGGTTTCAAATTCTTGTTATTTGACAATTACCATATCTCTAGATTGTCATTCGCTTACATCCTATTTGTGGCTTTCTCGTAGTTCAAGAAATTTAGGGATTCTTGATTTGAATTCTCCATAGAGAAAGCTCATGCGATACAATAGCCACCTTCGGAGCACCATTCTTACCTTGGATTTTAGGAAATTCAACTTCAAAATTTGATCCAAATTCACTGGTAGACATTGCAAATTAGGATCTGTTGTAACAATTTGCTTGCACCAGAGATTAGGTAGAGAGAATTTAGGGTAGAAGCTCTTATTTTCACTAAATTTTTTTCTAGTAATGCTATAATGTTCCATTTAAGTCTGGACTTCGGTGAATTTTTTCAATAGATGAAATTCTCTCAGCATTCAGAGAGTATGAAAATTTTTGCCAATACATCAATTGTCCGATTGTGAAGCTTTCAAAACCTTAAAAGTAGGATTCTCAGCATTCAATTCTGGCAATTCAGGATTGAAAAGAGACACAGGATCTCAATTGCCATAGGAATTAGCGAAAGTTTCAGAGAATTGAGGAGCAGAGGATTACTATAGACAGGAATGCAAGAGAGTATATTGCTGAAGAGATAGCAGTCATAGAGAGAGCATTGAGAGGTGGTCTCTTGAGCACCAGTGGAGATGCATATCCAAGCCTTGGATCTCTGTTATTTTGGATTGTAAATCTATTATTGGCCATTTGAGGGACTCAAATTTGGAGGCGAGCCTTGTTTGACCACTAACTTCCCCCACTTCGTCTTGTTTTTCCTACCAAATTGAATATTATTCATCATGACCCAATTCTTTTTGTGTTGATTGTTGATTGCTTTTATTTTCAGTTGATTGATTTTTACATTCGATTATTAGAGGCATGATTGAATATAAAGGAATTTTCCTTTTCCCCATGTTTGATGGGTTGTTGGTTACTGAACCGATCGATTTGAACCAATATAAATTGGTTCAGCTTGGTAGTTTACTTGTCTCATCAGTTTTGGTGCTGATTTGCAAGAAAACCTTCAAGTTTGGTTTGGTGAAAAAAATCTCTGTAAGAAATAATGTATAGAGAAAGAGAGAGAATAAATTGTATGTATTATTATTGATTGATATATTGATTTTTATTACAATGATTCATGATTCCTATATATAGAAGAGGGTGAGTGTGTAGTAGGTAAGGAGTAGGTGAAGTGGAGGTGGTAGTGGTGTAGTGGGTTAGGTTTAGTGGAGTAGGTGAGATGGTAGTGGTGTAGTGGGTTAGGTTTAGTGGAGTAGGTGAGATGGTAGTGGTGTAGTGGGTTAGGTTTAGTGGAGTAGGTGAGATGGTAGTGGTGTAGTGGGTTAGGTTTAGTGGAGTAGGTGAGATGGTAGTGGTGTAGTGGGTTAGGTTTAGTGGAGTAGGTGAGATGGTAGTGGTGTAGTGGGTTAGGTTTAGTGGAGTAGGTGAGATGGTAGTGGTGTAGTGGGTTAGGTTTAGTGGAGTAGGTGAGATGGTAGTGGTGTAGTGGGTTAGGTTTAGTGGAGTAGGTGAGATGGTAGTGGTGTAGTGGGTTAGGTTTAGTGGAGTAGGTGAGATGGTAGTGGTGTAGTGGGTTAGGTTTAGTGGAGTAGGTGAGATGGTAGTGGTGTAGTGGGTTAGGTTTAGTGGAGTAGGTGAGATGGTAGTGGTGTAGTGGGTTAGGTTTAGTGGAGTAGGTGAGATGGTAGTGGTGTAGTGGGTTAGGTTTAGTGGAGTAGGTGAGATGGTAGTGGTGTAGTGGGTTAGGTTTAGTGGAGTAGGTGAGATGGTAGTGGTGTAGTGGGTTAGGTTTAGTGGAGTAGGTGAGATGGTAGTGGTGTAGTGGGTTAGGTTTAGTGGAGTAGGTGAGATGGTAGTGGTGTAGTGGGTTAGGTTTAGTGGAGTAGGTGAGATGGTAGTGGTGTAGTGGGTTAGGTTTAGTGGAGTAGGTGAGATGGTAGTGGTGTAGTGGGTTAGGTTTAGTGGAGTAGGTGAGATGGTAGTGGTGTAGTGGGTTAGGTTTAGTGGAGTAGGTGAGATGGTAGTGGTGTAGTGGGTTAGGTTTAGTGGAGTAGGTGAGATGGTAGTGGTGTAGTGGGTTAGGTTTAGTGGAGTAGGTGAGATGGTAGTGGTGTAGTGGGTTAGGTTTAGTGGAGTAGGTGAGATGGTAGTGGTGTAGTGGGTTAGGTTTAGTGGAGTAGGTGAGATGGTAGTGGTGTAGTGGGTTAGGTTTAGTGGAGTAGGTGAGATGGTAGTGGTGTAGTGGGTTAGGTTTAGTGGAGTAGGTGAGATGGTAGTGGTGTAGTGGGTTAGGTTTAGTGGAGTAGGTGAGATGGTAGTGGTGTAGTGGGTTAGGTTTAGTGGAGTAGGTGAGATGGTAGTGGTGTAGTGGGTTAGGTTTAGTGGAGTAGGTGAGATGGTAGTGGTGTAGTGGGTTAGGTTTAGTGGAGTAGGTGAGATGGTAGTGGTGTAGTGGGTTAGGTTTAGTGGAGTAGGTGAGATGGTAGTGGTGTAGTGGGTTAGGTTTAGTGGAGTAGGTGAGATGGTAGTGGTGTAGTGGGTTAGGTTTAGTGGAGTAGGTGAGATGGTAGTGGTGTAGTGGGTTAGGTTTAGTGGAGTAGGTGAGATGGTAGTGGTGTAGTGGGTTAGGTTTAGTGGAGTAGGTGAGATGGTAGTGGTGTAGTGGGTTAGGTTTAGTGGAGTAGGTGAGATGGTAGTGGTGTAGTGGGTTAGGTTTAGTGGAGTAGGTGAGATGGTAGTGGTGTAGTGGGTTAGGTTTAGTGGAGTAGGTGAGATGGTAGTGGTGTAGTGGGTTAGGTTTAGTGGAGTAGGTGAGATGGTAGTGGTGTAGTGGGTTAGGTTTAGTGGAGTAGGTGAGATGGTAGTGGTGTAGTGGGTTAGGTTTAGTGGAGTAGGTGAGATGGTAGTGGTGTAGTGGGTTAGGTTTAGTGGAGTAGGTGAGATGGTAGTGGTGTAGTGGGTTAGGTTTAGTGGAGTAGGTGAGATGGTAGTGGTGTAGTGGGTTAGGTTTAGTGGAGTAGGTGAGATGGTAGTGGTGTAGTGGGTTAGGTTTAGTGGAGTAGGTGAGATGGTAGTGGTGTAGTGGGTTAGGTTTAGTGGAGTAGGTGAGATGGTAGTGGTGTAGTGGGTTAGGTTTAGTGGAGTAGGTGAGATGGTAGTGGTGTAGTGGGTTAGGTTTAGTGGAGTAGGTGAGATGGTAGTGGTGTAGTGGGTTAGGTTTAGTGGAGTAGGTGAGATGGTAGTGGTGTAGTGGGTTAGGTTTAGTGGAGTAGGTGAGATGGTAGTGGTGTAGTGGGTTAGGTTTAGTGGAGTAGGTGAGATGGTAGTGGTGTAGTGGGTTAGGTTTAGTGGAGTAGGTGAGATGGTAGTGGTGTAGTGGGTTAGGTTTAGTGGAGTAGGTGAGATGGTAGTGGTGTAGTGGGTTAGGTTTAGTGGAGTAGGTGAGATGGTAGTGGTGTAGTGGGTTAGGTTTAGTGGAGTAGGTGAGATGGTAGTGGTGTAGTGGGTTAGGTTTAGTGGAGTAGGTGAGATGGTAGTGGTGTAGTGGGTTAGGTTTAGTGGAGTAGGTGAGATGGTAGTGGTGTAGTGGGTTAGGTTTAGTGGAGTAGGTGAGATGGTAGTGGTGTAGTGGGTTAGGTTTAGTGGAGTAGGTGAGATGGTAGTGGTGTAGTGGGTTAGGTTTAGTGGAGTAGGTGAGATGGTAGTGGTGTAGTGGGTTAGGTTTAGTGGAGTAGGTGAGATGGTAGTGGTGTAGTGGGTTAGGTTTAGTGGAGTAGGTGAGATGGTAGTGGTGTAGTGGGTTAGGTTTAGTGGAGTAGGTGAGATGGTAGTGGTGTAGTGGGTTAGGTTTAGTGGAGTAGGTGAGATGGTAGTGGTGTAGTGGGTTAGGTTTAGTGGAGTAGGTGAGATGGTAGTGGTGTAGTGGGTTAGGTTTAGTGGAGTAGGTGAGATGGTAGTGGTGTAGTGGGTTAGGTTTAGTGGAGTAGGTGAGATGGTAGTGGTGTAGTGGGTTAGGTTTAGTGGAGTAGGTGAGATGGTAGTGGTGTAGTGGGTTAGGTTTAGTGGAGTAGGTGAGATGGTAGTGGTGTAGTGGGTTAGGTTTAGTGGAGTAGGTGAGATGGTAGTGGTGTAGTGGGTTAGGTTTAGTGGAGTAGGTGAGATGGTAGTGGTGTAGTGGGTTAGGTTTAGTGGAGTAGGTGAGATGGTAGTGGTGTAGTGGGTTAGGTTTAGTGGAGTAGGTGAGATGGTAGTGGTGTAGTGGGTTAGGTTTAGTGGAGTAGGTGAGATGGTAGTGGTGTAGTGGGTTAGGTTTAGTGGAGTAGGTGAGATGGTAGTGGTGTAGTGGGTTAGGTTTAGTGGAGTAGGTGAGATGGTAGTGGTGTAGTGGGTTAGGTTTAGTGGAGTAGGTGAGATGGTAGTGGTGTAGTGGGTTAGGTTTAGTGGAGTAGGTGAGATGGTAGTGGTGTAGTGGGTTAGGTTTAGTGGAGTAGGTGAGATGGTAGTGGTGTAGTGGGTTAGGTTTAGTGGAGTAGGTGAGATGGTAGTGGTGTAGTGGGTTAGGTTTAGTGGAGTAGGTGAGATGGTAGTGGTGTAGTGGGTTAGGTTTAGTGGAGTAGGTGAGATGGTAGTGGTGTAGTGGGTTAGGTTTAGTGGAGTAGGTGAGATGGTAGTGGTGTAGTGGGTTAGGTTTAGTGGAGTAGGTGAGATGGTAGTGGTGTAGTGGGTTAGGTTTAGTGGAGTAGGTGAGATGGTAGTGGTGTAGTGGGTTAGGTTTAGTGGAGTAGGTGAGATGGTAGTGGTGTAGTGGGTTAGGTTTAGTGGAGTAGGTGAGATGGTAGTGGTGTAGTGGGTTAGGTTTAGTGGAGTAGGTGAGATGGTAGTGGTGTAGTGGGTTAGGTTTAGTGGAGTAGGTGAGATGGTAGTGGTGTAGTGGGTTAGGTTTAGTGGAGTAGGTGAGATGGTAGTGGTGTAGTGGGTTAGGTTTAGTGGAGTAGGTGAGATGGTAGTGGTGTAGTGGGTTAGGTTTAGTGGAGTAGGTGAGATGGTAGTGGTGTAGTGGGTTAGGTTTAGTGGAGTAGGTGAGATGGTAGTGGTGTAGTGGGTTAGGTTTAGTGGAGTAGGTGAGATGGTAGTGGTGTAGTGGGTTAGGTTTAGTGGAGTAGGTGAGATGGTAGTGGTGTAGTGGGTTAGGTTTAGTGGAGTAGGTGAGATGGTAGTGGTGTAGTGGGTTAGGTTTAGTGGAGTAGGTGAGATGGTAGTGGTGTAGTGGGTTAGGTTTAGTGGAGTAGGTGAGATGGTAGTGGTGTAGTGGGTTAGGTTTAGTGGAGTAGGTGAGATGGTAGTGGTGTAGTGGGTTAGGTTTAGTGGAGTAGGTGAGATGGTAGTGGTGTAGTGGGTTAGGTTTAGTGGAGTAGGTGAGATGGTAGTGGTGTAGTGGGTTAGGTTTAGTGGAGTAGGTGAGATGGTAGTGGTGTAGTGGGTTAGGTTTAGTGGAGTAGGTGAGATGGTAGTGGTGTAGTGGGTTAGGTTTAGTGGAGTAGGTGAGATGGTAGTGGTGTAGTGGGTTAGGTTTAGTGGAGTAGGTGAGATGGTAGTGGTGTAGTGGGTTAGGTTTAGTGGAGTAGGTGAGATGGTAGTGGTGTAGTGGGTTAGGTTTAGTGGAGTAGGTGAGATGGTAGTGGTGTAGTGGGTTAGGTTTAGTGGAGTAGGTGAGATGGTAGTGGTGTAGTGGGTTAGGTTTAGTGGAGTTTTTTTTTTTTGTTTTTTTTTTTTTTTTTTTTTTTTTTTTTTTTTTTTTTTTTTTTTTTTTTTTTTTATTCTCATTTTTTTTTTTTTTTTACAATTATATCTTGAGCTAAAATTATATTAAATGACAATTTTTAATGGAACACCCACTCACCAAATAAAAACAATTAGAATGACACTCTACAATATTATACACCTACCTCCATCCTCATCTATACATATTCCATATCAATCTAAACCCTAATCATATTCTTTTTCATCACCATCCTGAACCC